GTTTCTCTTCATCTTAAAGCACTCAAAGTATTATTCAGCAAATCTTTTAAAAATCTCAAAACCTTAACCCTGGCCAGTTTGGCTCAGCGGTCGGAGTCTGGGCCTGCAGTCCAGAGAGACCCAGATTCGGTTCCCACTAAGGTCATGTACCTCGGTTGCAGTTTGTCCCCGGCCCATGTTTACCTTTCACGTCGATGTTTTTTCTCTCTCTCTCTGCCCCTCCCGCTCTATCTGAACAAAAAAATGAAAAAATGTCCTCGGGTGAGGATAAAAAAAAAATCTTAAAATCTTAAAAAGCATTTTATTTAACCCTAAACATTTTTATGTATTAGGGGAGAGACAAGCATAGATAACATTAGCAAAAGAAGCTATTCTTAACAATAAAAAACAGAAACTTAGCAATTGCAAATAATAAAGTCATCATATATGTACAGTCAAAAGTTGCCAAGGAGAGAAAACACATATACACAGCCAAAGGACTGCTAGCAGGATGTTAATGTATCAAGATGTTAGCTCATAGGTAAATTACTAAAATTGCTTCTGGAATAAAAAAAAAATTTTTAAAGACTAAAATAAAATTACTCAGAATTCTCTTTAAAAGCCAACTAAAGAATTGGCAAGGGAGCACTTGATTCTTAAATTTGCCCACCTTTAAGACATCTTTTTAAAAGCTTTACATTTTTTATTTGCTGGAAGAAACTGTCAACATCTCTCATTTTAACTTAATTATAATGAAAAAGAATAGAAAAATTTAAACGCAAAATTTTGGTTATCTTCAAATGATCCTACAAGATTATCCATTGATATGAAACTCTTAAGATGCACTTTGTGGGGATTCTATATAGCTACTGGAAACTTACATTACCCACAGAATTACATATGTTGAATCTCTACAGACATTAAATCATATTCTTCGTAGCAAAAATACTGGTTATTGTTCTTTTTTAAACTTTTCTGAATTCTTCGAACTTCTACCAACACCACCAAAAAGTCAAGGCAACCAACAAAGACAACTTACTTTTAGTTGATTTTCAGCTTCTTTTCTAATAAAAAAATCCTAACTAAAAATTATATGAAAGCTAGTAATGGTATACTCATTAGTGAAATATACTCTGTCAGATAGATAACAAATCTAACCTGCTTTTACTTTCAAATCCTTCACTTAAAGACAGATTTATTCAAAGCAGTGTTGGCAAAAAAAGAAGAAAAAAAAAAGTCAACTGTTTCTTGAGTCTACCACAACAGAGGAGCAAAGACTGATTAAATCTTGAGCCACAATCTCAGTATCATCTGGAGCCATGATTTAAAAAAGCAAACAAACAAAACTAAAAACAAGGTAATTACTATAAAATTGTTCTGCATTAAAGAACCACAGTTGATCCAAGCAGACTATTATAGTTCTTCGTACTTCAGTTAACTGGTACATTCATGATAGATACACGTACTTTATTCTTAACACATTCCTTATACATGAAGCAGCCAATATTATTTTCTCGACACCAAAAAACCCCATTAGAGGCTAACTGGATTAATGGGATGTTTCTGGTATGGGAATAATGTTAAGTATTTCTTAATGAGTGTGCTGAAATAATCACTACCTGCTTCACCACCTAGCTCAGGAAATCAAAATCTTTCTTCAGGTCTCCAAAATAAAGCAAGCTCTGACACTTTCCATCTACTTTTCCATTGTTCACTTCCAGTGCTTTTTTGTTTTGTTTGCACTTAAAATTCAAGTGAGTCAGTCATTACCTTTAATTTCTACCATAAAGGTAACCCAGGGTTGTCAATTCTCCCAAATCAGACTAATAACACGAAAAATAGTCGGACAGCTTAAAATTTAATCAGTGATTGATGTATTTGTTATTCTCACCCCAAAACCAAAAGCTTACAACTTGAAGATTATAAAAGTATTCAGTAATAAAACTATCAACTATGTCAACCAACACAAATCTTAATTTAAGAAAAAACATAAGACTTTAAAGTTTTTGTTTGTGTGTTTGTTTTTTCTTTATTGAATTTTAGAGAGAGGGGAAGGGAGAGGGAAAGGGAGGGAGAAAAAAAACATCGATGTGAGAGAACACCAATTGGCTGCCTCCTGCATGCCCCTCACTGGGGATTTGGCCCATAACCTGGGCATGAGCCCTGACCAGGAACCAAACCAGCGACCTCTTTGTGCATGGGTCAATGCTCAACCACTGAGCCACAGGAGCCAGGCAAGTTTAGAACAAAGTGTTAAATAGACCTGTGTGGGTCCAAAAATAGAATTTCTTTCCTTCTTTTCTCTATTTGCCATTTTTTCTCTAATTACTTTTATAACAAATTTCACTAAAGACAAAAAGAAACTGCTTAAGTCAGATTGCTAAACATTTGCCTGCTAGTTGTCCTTGTGACCTTCCATAATAAAATATCCATTACTTCCTCTCACCTCAAGTAATTTTCACTGATGCTTTTCCAAACGTTTACCCAAAACTCCTAGATTATTTTATTAGACACAATATAGAATATAAATTCAGTAGGCCAGGTACTGGCATACTTGATGCCAGAAAAAAATATAAACATGATTTCTGGTTTTGATTCTGTTGAGGTCATTAATCCAGAGAACACAAAAGAAGGAAAATTTGGCACTGTATTTACTTAAGAATTACTATCCTTGCCATTTATTCTTCTTCCTTCTTCCCCCTAGAAAAATCCTCCTCACTCCTTCTGCTTCTCCAAAACTATTACTAATAATTCCCTAACAGGTCTCTTTTCTATAAAGCCTTCCTGAACCCTCCACCCTCCTTTGAAATTTTGTTGTTCCAATCCAGTGGCACACATCTGGAACTTGCTACATCTACTGGCAGTTGACATACATACAACTTATTTTCTATATTCCATTATTAGCTCCTTGAGAGTAAGAATTACATTCCTAAATCCTAGCACTACTAAAATATCTTACATGATAATGATATATACCACCTAGTGTGTTCTTAGTTTTCCAAATTATTTTCCTTACACTTGAGCCTCACAACTACCTCGACAGGAATAATGACTCCTATTATCCTATTATTATTTTTAATCCTCACCTGACGACATTTTTCCATTTTTTGTTCAGACAGAGTGGGAGGGAGAGAGGAAGACTGAAAGAGAGAGAGAGAGAGAGAGAGAGAGAAACATCGACGTGAAAGGGACACATCGAGTGGCTGCCACCTGCACAACCCAACCAGGGCCAGGGACAAACTGCAACCGAGGTACACCCCTTAGCAGGAACTGAACCCGGGTCTCTCTGGACCACAGGCCGATGCTCTAACCACTGAGCCAAATTGGCCAGGGCTATTATCCTATTTTTTTAAAAAAGAGAAACAAATTCAGAGGCCAAATAATGTGTCATAGTTCTGTTCAACTAATCTTCAAAATCTATTTACAGTACTCAATATATGTAACAAATGTAAGAAACTTCTTGAACAAAACAGGTTTACAATCCTCCAGAAAGTGACAAATCCATGTGCTTTATTGTAGCCAAGAAAACTAAATTAGGGACCTTAAGTTCAACTCTGCCCAACTATGCAAAACAAACTTTGTTCTTGGAAATAAAGAAATTTAAAAACTGCCAACATAGCAAATATGGCACTATAAGAACACTATCCTCAACTTCTTATAAAGTTTATAAAATTTTAATGAAATACTATGGCTTTTCTGAAAAGGGGGACATTTCAGCATCAAACCACAATATTACAAAACTTGAAGTCAGAATGCATTTTGCAAGAGTCATGTGACATACACATGACAGTCAGCTAAACGGATGGGTGGACCTTGTAGGGGAAATGTTTAATTGACCAAAGCAGCAAATAAACTCAACTTTTAGAACAAATACTGATTTCTGCTTTAAAAAGAAAAAATTCACCATGTCCCCAAAGCCTTCTGACACCAAAGAGAAAATATCAATTAAATCTCCAATTATTCATTAATTTATATATGCAAGCTGTAGAAGGATTTTTTTAAGGGCCCATTAAGAGAGCCCAAACAAAGTCTTCCCAGCGAAAGTGAACACCAGTTCCCAGGAAAAGTGCCAGGTGTGTCACATCTGCTATGGTGACTTCTTGAGTAAGCAAGAAAAAGAAATGCATTAACTTTTCATGACACGTCATGGAACCTCATTCCCTATCTGCAAACATTCAAGTAGGTAATCCAAACCTACAGCTCACAGAGCCATTTGTTTCCCTTTCAACTTGACAGTGACATCTTCCTTGAATTAAGTAATATCAGAAAGATGTTCCTAAGATTTTGTCTTTTTCTTTCTTGATCTACACCATATAAAATGACTTTACTGTCCTCTAAAAAAAATGACCACAAATGCCTACGTTTTTTAGGAAGGCAGTGGGCCTGGAGAGTTCTTACACAACTCCAGAAAATAACTAAAACACACAACTAAAATGTTTAAATCGCGTCTCATTCCCCTCCACCCCACGCAGTCCTGAAAAACACCCACATTACTTGCAACCTGAAGGAGAGGGTGGAAGAAGCGAGAGCCAATAAGCTCAAGATTTACAAGTAAACCGGTCTCCACCGAGGCGACTCTGACAGCTCCGCAGAGTGCGGGCGCAGGGTCTGACAGTGCCCTCTAGGAGAGCTCTCCCACCCTGTCCTCTCTCCTTAAAAACAAGTCCTCCTTCAAAAGTCACTGCCTCTGTGAGAAGTTACCTTCCCACCGTCCTACCGCCGACTCCCAAAAGCACCACCCCTCTCAGCAGACAGTTCCTCCGCACCGGCCCGACACTCAGGCCTGCACCCTGACCCGGTCCAGGCCGGGGCTGCTCGACCCTCCGGCCCGACCCCTCCCCGAGGCCGCCCCTCCTCCGCCAGACAATGGAGCCCGACTCCCTGCCGCCAGCCTCTCCTCCTCCCCATCACCCTCGCCGCACCCCAGTCGAGCCCCCCAGCCCAGCCCAGCCCTCCTCGCCCCCTTTAAGCTCTCCCAAGCTGGCCCACCGACCAGCCGCCCGGTGCTCTCCTGCACTCACTATTCGGGATTCATGCTGGACATGTCACTGCAGCTGCCGCCGCCGCCGCCCTTGCTGCTGCAGCCGCCGCCCTGACTCTCCGCGCCACGGGTAATCGGAGAGGAATGAGGTAGGCTGTTCCGGGAGAGCAAACGTCTTCCCCCACTCCGTCCCCTTAGAACACAATCAGCAGCCGCCGCCACTCAGCTATCGCTTCCACCCAAAATGGCCGCCGGCGAACCAGGAAATAGGAAAGCCTTAGACGGAGGGGGCTTTACATAGCCCAGAGGGCGGCCGCACCGCGTGGCATGCCGGGAAAGAGTGTTGCCAGTGCCTATGTGGGCGCTGGGAACTGACGCTACGGCGCGGAGGCCGGGACTCAGCTTCCCGCCAAGCCCCGCGCTTCTGGTGCATGCGTACTGGAGGAGCTGTCTCCCGCCCCATTCCCCAAGCTCTCACCGCCACCCTCCTCCGGTCCCTGCTCCCCTCCTGGCTGACTCGCTGGCTAGCACTTCGCTCGGACTCCCCCTAGCGGATTGGCTAAGGCCGAGCGGCCCTGGTGATGTCATCAGTGAGACGTGGCAGCCCCGAGAGTCAGCGCCCCACAGGGGAGGAGAGGACGGGGAGGAGGGCGAGGGGAGGGGAGGGGAGGAAAGGGGAGGGGCGGGGCGGGGCAGAGGGCGGTGCTGGAGTCGGCGAAGAATGGGAGTAGGGGGATATCTGGGGGCGAACGGATGAAGAGAGAGGGGTCGCAACCCTAGGGTCCGCTTGCTTGCGAAGGCGGGGAGGGAAGGGGGCTGGAGGACACTCCTGGGCTGTCCTGGCTCCCGTGCGCCTTTTACTGGCCGGACCAGCGTGAGACTTAAGCCTTGGGGCTGGTCTCAGGACGTCCTCTCTAAGGACGAAAAAGGAGTCAAGGGGCCTCTGTTGAAAACTTCCTGGCTCTGAAAACACGAAGCAGTTCTTTCAGTTTCCTTCCTCACTCAGGTAACCCCACAGGCACTATCATTTTTATTTATTTTTTATATTCCCTTTGATCCCTGCTCTGATCTCAGCAGCCTGGATATTGCAGTGGCCTCCAAGTTGACTAACTGCATCTATCTCTTCTTTGTTCAATGCTATTTGCACACACAGCCAGATTTATCTTCCTGGAACAGCACTTCCATTACGACACCACAACTTTTTTAAAAATATGTTTTTATTGATTTTTTTAGAGAGAGAGGAAGGGAGAGAGATAGAAACTTCGATATGAGAGAGAAACATCAATCAGCTGCCTTCTGCACACTCCCTTCTGTGGATCAAGCCACAACCGGGGCATGTGCCTTTGACTGGGAATTGAACTGGGACCTCTCAGTCCATGGGACCACACTCAATCCACAGAGCCACACTGACCAGGCATGACCCCACAACTTTCAATGGCTTCTCATTCCAAAGATGGGGCACAGCACAGAGTCAACCAAAAATTCAAGGTGTTCCTGTCCTGGTCTCAGCATTTAAGTTGTATTTATGTTACTTATTTTTAGTTGTACTTATTTTTAGTTTAATGCTGAGCTGTTATGCAAGATTGGAAAGTAATAAATGATACAAACATGCAATTCATCACTATATAATGCTGAGAAACTCCCAGGAGTAATATTAACACAATTTTTTGATCTTAACATCTCTCTTTAATCAGCTCAGGAATTTAAATCACTAAACTTTAACACATTATCTTGGGTTATATAATTACAAAGGGCATAGTATAATATATTGTCCAAAGTTTATCTTCCAACTTGTTCTAAGAACCAAAAAAATTATCTCCCAAGAGTGATTGCAAAATCACTTTAAAGTTCCCAAGACACCAAATAAGGAAAGAAGGCAGTTCTTATTTCTACCCATTTACTAACTATACCCCTTAACCCTAAATCCCACCAGTGTTATAGTTAACCTCATTAAACAATACACTAGAGTTCCTTCACATCATATTAGCTAATGAAATGAGTATGGTCACCACACCCTAAGTACTTTGAATGGATCAATTATAGACATCAAAAAGTGTTGATTAGACATCAGAAAGTATTGATTAATCCTGGCCAGTTGTGGCTCATTTGGTTGGGCATCATCCCATACACCAAAAGTTTGCCAGTTCAATTCCCAGGTTGTGGGTTTGATCCCAGGTAGGGGGTGTGCAGGAGGCAGCTGATGGATGTTTTGCTCTCACATCAATGTTTCTCTCTCTCTCAAAATTAATTTAAAAATCTTTTTTAAAAAGTGTTGATTACCCTAGACTCCTGTCCTTTCTTGCTTATTGTGATTTCATAGACGAAAGACTCAGAAAATCTCTCAAGAACTCATCCTGAGCCAAAATTACTATTTTTTTTCCCTTGAAGGTATACCCCCAAGTTTTCTTGACTTGCCTGTTTTCTTTCCCAAAGAAATACTTCCTAATAACTTTTAACCTAAGCGAGAGAATAGTTGTAAGAATTAGATTAAAACGTATTATAAAGCATATTGCACAATGGCTGTGGGGCACTTGGTAAATGTTAATTACCTTACTCCTTTCCTTAATTTTCCTGAAACTTTTAAGTGTACTTGCTGTATACCAAGAATAGAACACCTTAAATCTTATAGTGTTATGATATGCAAGGAGATCAGAGGCAGCTTAGCTTGGGAGTGGTGGCTGGTTTTTTCCTACACCCTACTACAACTTATATCGTCATTTACATTAAGACTGCCTTGCCAAACTTAAGGTGTCAGTTTTGCCGATTCAAACAAAATATTTTATGTGTGGGTGTGTAAGAGTAGCTACTTTTATACTTCAGATTAATAACTCAGAATAATTCATTAAACTAGCATGAGCCCTGTTGGTTGCCCTGTTGGTGAATCAGAACTCTTCTAGAGCAGTTTGCTCATTTCTTCTTTGGGTAATTCTTTTCTTTCTTCCTTTCTTCTTTCCTTTCCTTCCCCCCTCCCCTTTTTTTAAATCAAACATTTATGACCTGTAACATAATAAATGTGTTTGGAACTTGTGCTGGGAATCCTGAGGAATACAAAGGTGAATAATTACAGCTCTCTGTCTGCAACCTAGTGAGAGAAAGATGTACACAAAACAAGACCTACAGGGGAAAATGCAAAAATAAGATTAAATTATATGAGGTATATAGGGACAGAAATCAGATCAGTGGTTGTCTGGAACTAGGAGTGGGAGGAAGGAATCATCTACAAAGAGACAGAAGGGAACTTTGATGGAAATATAGTAGTTATACAGAAATTTTTGACTTCACGGGAGGTCGACATGTTGTTCAAGGGTCAACTGGACTCTATATCTTCATTGTGGTGATGGTTAGTTGTACCTTAGTTATAAACCTGACATTAAATAATGATATGAGGTGAAAGTACACAGGAGGGAAACAGTTCCAACTCAAGTTATTGGGAATGCTTTTATGAAGGAAATGATATTTGAATTGGGACTCGGAAGAGATTCATATTTTGATATTTGGCAAAAATGGGGGAGAGGGTGCTGTTCATCCCAGAATGACAAAAGAATCTGAGCATAATCCTAGAAGTGCAAAGATACACCTGTTTAAGGAATAGTTCTGTGGAAGATGAATTGGGAGACATTAAGGTTAAAGTGAGATCATGGGGAGTCCCAAATGCCTGTTAAGGAGTTTTAACTTTATTCAGTAGGCAATAAAGTCGAAAGTTCTGAGAAGAAGAGTGAAGTGATCAGCTTAGTGTTTTAAAAGGAACACTTTGGAGGTAGGGAGATTAGTTAAAAGGTAATTAGATTTATTTAGGCAAGAGACGACCTAGAGCAATTATATCAAGAATGGAAAGGAGAGGAGATTCCAGAGAGGAGAATTTAGAACCTGAAGGTGTGGGGGGAGGAGAAGAACTAAAAGTGACTCAGAGATACCCAGTTCACCTGCCAGCTTGAAAACCAAGGCCCCAGCCAAGTCAGAGAACAGGGAAGGAAGGGTGTGGAGTGGGGTAAAAAAGGAGGAAGACTGGCAGTGCTATGCAGCTCAAGGTCAGGGTTAAAGCTGCCCTGGTATGGAGGTACTAGAGTATAGTCATGTGCTGCTTAAAGAATGGATATGTTCTGAGAAATGTGTCTTTAGGTGATTTTGTCATTGCATAAACATTATAGAGTACTCTTATATAAACCTAGATGGTAGAGCCTACAGCATACTTGGCTATATGGTATAACCTACTATTACTCCTAGGTTACAAGCCTGCACAGCTTGTTACTATACAAAACAACACGAGATTAAATCAAACACAAGAGAATATGATGAAATTGTAAATACAAGATGTATGAGGCTGCTGCCAGCATAAAAGGGCATACTGTTTTATAACACTCTTTTTTATAAGTAGAAAGAGTACACTCTAAAATAACAAAAGTATAGTATAGTAAATACACAAACCAGCAACTGTCATTCATCATCATTATCAAGTTTTATGTACTGTTCAAGACATGGGGAAGAAAAGTATTATGTACTGTACATAACTGTATACACTTTACTTTTTTTTTTTTTATCCTCACCCGAGGACATTTTTTCATTTTTTGTTCAGATAGAGCGGGAGGGAGAGAGAGGAAGAGAGAAAGAGAGAGAAACATCGACGTGAAAGGGACACATCGAGTGGCCGCCACCCACACGACCCAACCAGGGCCAGGGACAAACTGCAACCAAGGTACATGCCCTTAGCAGGAACCGAACCTAGGTGTCTCTGGACCGCAGGCCGACGCTCTAACTGCTGAGCCAAACCGGCCAGGGCTACACTACTTTTATACAATTGGCAGCTCGGTAGGTTTGTTTACACCAGCATCACTACAAACAAGTGAGTAATGTGTTGCACTATGACTTTATGATGGCTATGACATCACTAGACCATAGGAATTTTTCAGTTCCATTATAATCTTATGGGACCACCACCATATACATAGTCCATCGTTGACTAAAACGTTAAGTGGTGCATGACTGTACCTGAAATTGTCCCTTTTCTCAACCAACACAAAATTGTCCCTTTTCTGATCAATCAGTCAGAACACTGTCAAAGACAGGAAGCCAGACACGAGTTAAAACAGTAAGAATAGACTTTATTCAGTAATAACTATTGCAATAGGGGAAAAGGCTTGGTGTAAACTGAATTTTGCAGCACTAAAACAAAAGATACACTTTTTATTTAAAAACAGGTGTGCTAAGGGAAAGGCTTTGAAATGTGTTAAGGGCAGGGGTGGTCCATGTGACTAGGCCATGT